GTTGAACGAATTCAAGCACGATTTGCCAACCGATGTTTGTGACCTATAACTAACCGATACGTTTGTCATACATATCTGTGGGCTGATCGACTGATGGTACATGCTACCACACGCGTAAGTACACAGATCATACGAACCTACTTCTCAATGGCGTTCCTCTTTGTGACGTACTAGTGCCTTGACACGCTGCAGGCGCATCGGCCTGCAAATCTGTTAATTGTATGTACACACTACAAACAGACAAATTGCTGGATTCACTGTTTACTCATTCATCTGCATGAACGGGAGCCGACCAACACCAGATTACGGAGCTTAAAACGAACGAGAAAAACCACTGGAATGGTGATGGAATGCATCCAGTGAACCTGATCGTATTCGGTTGTTTTGCGGATCGACATATACATATACCACCCAAACCTAATTGGAAGCATGATGCGTATGAAGACCCCCACATCATTATTCCTGAGACGAGACGATGCTGATCCAAGTGAACAAAGCTGTTTGTTTCATGATTTAAAAGTATAGTAATCAAAGAAACGAAAATGTCGATTAATTACCTGTCTGTATAAGTGTGAGATTGGTGTGAACTGCTTTGCCTTGCACGCCATTTGTCGTAAGCGCGAAAAAAGCTTCGATGAACCCCAATCAGGATTTCCTGCAATCGCAGCAAATAGTTCCCGTCTGCTGCCTCAAGCATCTCCTCTGGAGTGGATGAAACTGAAACTATCGGCTGCTCTGGTTCGATTGCATACGTATCACTGTCACTCTTCTCGTCCGAATCGATCTGGTCATTTCTCACATTCGCTGCAGGTGCGACCTCATCCGAATGGGCCAAAGATTCCGAACTCACCACTTTTGTGTCTGTGACAAGATCAGTTTGTTCAGTCACAGTAGTTGAATCAGTGACGTTATTTCTAAACGGACTGTCTTCTACCATGAGGCTGGGTTCTGTGGGTCTAAGAGAGAAGTAAAGAAAGAATTCTGAAACCAAAATGGGACACAAGATAAAGTGAGCATTAAATTTTTACAAAGTGTATCATTCGATGGAGCCCAGCGGAAATTGAATGAGATTTATAACCCTAACTGAAACACGTATTTCAGAGTAAACAAACAGATATCTAACTAATCTGATATAATCTTTCTCGATCGACGGATTCTTTGTCACTAGCATTGTTCTGTGCCAAAAATCTGTTCCTTCAAAAACACCTGCAAATGCGTGCTTCATCGACAGCTATGTCAAAATACTCTGGTGGTCGAATAATCAAGAATCCCGATCTAGAAAAAATAATAAAACAGGATTCTATCCAACCACCTAGAGCTGCTTTCACCATTCTCAAATATCTTCGTGAACGGGGCTCAATTGAAATTAAGTTAGATTCGGTATATATCACTGTCTATCTGTTAGCAGAAATCATCCTTCTACGACAAGAATATTTCGAAGACTGCAGAGGAATCATTTTGTGGTCTTATCGATGAAGTGAAATAGTTTCATCAGCTGTCCATCGGTAAAGTGGGTAATACGCTTACATTCTATCTTTTAGATTGGAAGGATCCCTGGGTTTGCACCACCGATAACGGTTGATAAGAAGAACTAGACAGATGGTAAAGATGGTTTTCCAAATGGATGCCTAAGACTTAAGGGCACGGCATACTTCGCGGTAGCCCACACCGACGAAGGGGTTTTTCTTTGGGAACCCGAACTGGAGCCTTTGACTTAAGAGTCTGACCCGCAAGGCAGCGGGAACGCTCAGTTCAACTGGCTCCCATCGACAGCTTATCTTTCACTCTCCGCCTCGACTGGAGAAATACTCCCAGTTGATGCTAGTCCTCCATATGAGTATACCCGGGAAATAAGTCACCTCAATCGGCATAAGGCCTCTGGCTCCGACGGGCTGTTCCCATTAGCGTTTAAGGATGGAGGCTCAGCGTTAGTCCTGGAGTTGACAAAACTTCTGGGCTCAGTGTGGGAAAAGGAAGAGGTTCCAGCTGAATGGTGTGAGTCGGTGATCATACC